AGGCTGGTTTTACATATGATTATTACTATAGAATAAAAATACACACACATACACATACACATACACATACACACACACACACATTTGAATTCCAGAATCATGGATAATACAGTCATGTTCATGCTCATGTTCATGCTCATGCTCATGCTCATGCTTATATTTATGCTCACACGTGCATCAACATCAAGCACATGATGATTAGATATGCTTTTCCAAATACAGACTTACTTTAGCCCAGAAAGCTACTAATACTACTACGTACATGGATATAAAGTTCATCAGCGATATCGGGATGAGGCGGGGGGGGGGGGCGATATTGCCACAGTCCCATAGTCCACACAGCTGACGACCACACACACAGATAGATAGATAGATAGATATATTAGTCACGCCACGACGATTTCCCTCCCCTTTCCCACCCTATGCTCTTGACACACTTCCCCAGCTTGATTAATCCACGTAGGAAGTAAGACTCAGCGGGACTAGGACTAGGACCAGGACTAGGACTAGGACCAGGGGTGAGGCATGGCATCGGGGGCTAAAAAAAATAAACAAAAGCTGCAATTGCAATCATGACGATTATCATCATATTGTGAGAGGAGGCAAATGCTAGGAACTGGAACGGCCGTAACAGTAACATGGGGGAGGGGGAGAGCGCAAGGGTCTAGCTAGCCCTGCATCGAGACCCCTCGCCCCCCCCTCGCCCCCCTCCCTTCCACTTTCAACCCTAGATGATGCAGGCTGGGCTATGCAAGGGGATTCCCTGGAGCGGCTGTTTTTAGCTTGCTTGAGGAGGGGGGAGGGGGTGGATGCGTGGGATCCAGGGACCATGACCATGACCATGACCATGTCACATGGGGGGCTGGAATTTCATCAGGTGCAAGACGTATGCAGATGATGGATGATGATGATGCAAAAAAAGCCAAAATGTGTGTGCACGTGTAATATCATTTGTCTCATGCTCTATGCATTATCCGTGTCGTGTGCTTCTCTTCCATTTGCATGAGCGGCAATATGGGCTCACGTTGCTTTGTCCGCGTGTACTCTACGTCAGCTCTAGGCTAGGATGTAGTGCTGTGTGGCACGTTGCCTGTTTCCAGGTCTGACATTTCTCAGACCCAACAACCCTGCCTTTGTGCAAGTCGACAACTTCTATTCCTCCATCTCGACATCGTCGCCGTTTGCGTGGCCGCTTTGTCGTGCGTTGGGCTTGGGTACCGAGGCTTCCTTGTCGATCATTTGCCGCGAGACCGAGACAATGTTGTCTTCGATCAGTTGCTGTCCCACGTCCGAGATGTCTGGGGTGCCTTGTTAGCATGGGCTTGAAACAACAAGCACAAAAAACATACGCTTCTTTGGGTCCACCTTTCCAACATATCGTGTCTTTAGTTGCTCCTTGGTCAACTCCGTCTCTTCCTTCACCCGCTTCTCGTACCCGTCCGCCAATGTAACTAGCTTCTGCAGCCTATCCGTATTCCGCTCAGCCTCGCCCTTAAAGTCGTCCATGAGTAGCGCCTCGGTCCAGACGTGCTTGTGCAGGTTCATCAACATGTTCTCCTCGAGCGCAGTCTTTCGGTAGTTGATACCGATCGAGTAGTAGTGGCGGTTTAGGCCGTGGATGAGGGCTTGAATCGAAGGCTTGTTAAGGTGACCGACGTTGGATGTCGTCTGGCGGGGCTCGTGGCCCATCATGAGCGTTTGCGGGTTGATTAGGCGGAAGGCATCGATGACCACCTTGCCCTTGACCGACTGGATGGGGTCGACTACGACGGCCACGGCGCGGGGTGTGAGCTGCTCGAACGACTGCTGTGTGTTGATGTCGACCGACGACAGCCAGCAGCCAAAACCAGGATGTGAGTGGTACCAGCCAACAACCGTCTCTTGCCTGTGTTTGTCAGCGGGATGCACCAGGCGGGAGCATGTGGCGGCCTCTGGTGCTCAATGCCCAGCTGCATACCTTCCTGTTTGTCGAAGCATGTCCATCATCTTGGTCTGGAAGACGGGGTCAACAGCCTCGACCGAGACACCTGTTCCCGACTGCGGCATGGCGAATACGTCCACCACTCGTACTGTGTAGTCGTCGACAAACTCTCCCAGCATCAGCCCCATGACTTCCATAGGCACACCTGCGCGGCCGTGTCGCAGCATCTTGAGCAGTGCCAGCGACGAGATGTAGACGGTTTCCGAGTTGTCGATCAGGTTGGTGTCGGCCTGGGGTCCTCCCATACCGCTCATGCCTTGAGCGGCGGCGAGCATTCTGCTTAACCGATCCATGGTGGTGTATCGGTAATCGGTGTGCTTAATGAGGCAGATTCAAAGGGCTTGGTGGAGAGACGGAATTACGGGCCCTTGATTGAGTGACGTGAGCGTTTGGGTGAAGCGGCGGCGGCGATGATGAAGCTATCGCTGCCCGGAGCTTCACGTAACTGCGCGACTGCCAGATCCGGCGATGCTGTTATTCCGGTACCGGCGCTAAGCAGGGGTCCCCTGCCGCAGCTCGATGCTCAATGCCCGCGTCTTTGTTCAAAGCTTCCCCCATCTCTCGTCCAAACCCCTCCACCTTCTGCCGGCTATTTAGTCTCCAGGTCGTGATAGACTGTCGCACCCAGCGCGCATCGCAAGACACGAGCAAACGACCCTCATCCACCCCAAAAATATCCCAACCACTCAGATATAATTACGTAGCTGCGCGCAGCCACCAAAGATATGGTGGACGGAAACGACATGGCAGCCCCAACGGGCGCCGTCCACAGCAATAACGGCACCGCATCGCAGCCGAAGAAGGTCGCATACTTTTACGACTCGGATGTGGGCAACTACGCCTATGTTGCGGGGCATCCCATGAAGCCCCATCGCATACGCATGGCGCATAGTCTGATCATGAACTATGGGCTCTACACCAAGATGGAGATTTACGTAGGTGCATTCTTTGTGCGAAGTCTTCGCATCATTGCTAACAAGACGCAGCGCGCAAAGCCAGCCTCCAAGTATGAGATGACACAGTTCCACACAGACGAGTACATTGAGTTTCTGCACAAGGTCACGCCCGACAACATGGAACAATTCACTCGCGAGCAAAGTAAATACAATGTGGGAGACGATTGCCCGGTGTTTGACGGGCTCTTTGAGTTTTGCGGTATCAGCGCGGGCGGCACCATGGAAGGCGCCGCTCGCTTGAACCGAGGCAAATGCGACGTCGCTGTCAACTGGGCCGGTGGTCTGCATCACGCGAAGAAGAGCGAGGCCAGTGGATTCTGCTACGTCAATGACATTGTCTTGGGTATTATTGAGCTGCTCAGATACAAGCAGCGTGTCCTCTACATCGACATTGACGTCCACCACGGCGACGGTGTCGAAGAAGCTTTCTACACTACCGATCGCGTCATGACGGTCTCGTTCCACAAGTACGGAGAGTACTTTCCAGGTACCGGTGAACTCCGCGACATCGGTGTCGGCGCCGGCAAGAACTACTCGGTCAATTTCCCCCTGCGAGACGGCATCACCGACGAGACATACCGGAACATCTTTGAGCCCGTCATTGAGGCAGTCATGACCTACTATGGGCCTGAAGCTATCGTCCTACAGTGTGGTGGCGACAGTCTCTCTGGAGATCGACTCGGCTGCTTCAACCTGAGCATGGATGGACACGCAAACTGCGTCAGGTACGTCAAGAGCTTCGGCGTGCCGGTTATTGTCTTGGGAGGCGGTGGCTACACCATGAGGAATGTTGCGCGAACCTGGGCATACGAGACGGGAGAGCTGGTTTCCGAGAAGATGTCCAAGCAGCTTCCTTTCAACGACTACTACGAATATTTTGCGCCCGACTACGAGCTGGACGTACGACCATCCAATATGGAAAATGCCAACTCTCACGATTACCTGCACAAGATCAAGTCGGCAGTCATTGAGAACATCCGGAGAACGGGAAGGCCATCCGTTGAGGCTTTCACAACCATTCCGGACGTGCCCTCGGCCCTGGGCCGCGCAATGGACTCTGACGCTGAAGACGAGGACGACGATATGGATGCGGATGAAAACCCAGACGTGCGCATGACGCAACGCCAGCGCGACAAGCAGGTCGAACACGAGGGCGAGCTTTATGACGCAAGCGACGATGAAGATTACAAGAACAGCCTCGGAGTGCGCGCCCAGCCTGGTGTGAAGAAGAGGCGGAACATTACCGATTTCCCTAATCCAAACGCAGCACCGGCTGATGAGCTGGATGGCGTAGAAGAGACCAATGGTGCAAGCACTGTTTCAACCCGACAAGCCTCTGTGGGCGCAAAGTCGCGCACACAAACTCCTGCTGCTGCCGAACAGGAGGTTGACAAGGACGGTGATGTCGACATGGATGCGCCGGCTCCTGAGGCCGCTCCAGAGCCTGCTCCCGAGGCTGCCCCAGAGGCCGCCCCTAAAGCTGCTCCTGAATCCGCTCCTGCACCAGCCACTGCTCCTGCTCCCGTCGTTGAGCGGGACCCATCTCCTGCGGGCGTTGTGACTCCACCCGAGTCGCCGCCCACTGCGGCGCCGGCGGCCATGGCACCCACATCAGCTCCCGTAGCTGATGTTGAAATGGCAGACACTGACGAAAAGGCGGAGGAGACTACTGCTGCAAAAGAAGAGGGCGAGGCAGAACGCGACAGTGAAAACGTCAAGGGTGAAGTCCGAACAGAAGTCGCCAAAGAGTAGGAATTCCGAGGCGGACGACTGCGACGCATAACGTGCAGTGGATAGTTGCATTCGAGAGGCGTTCATTTCTTGGTCGCGATACTTTGGTCAGGATCTTGTAAAAGGCAGCGAAGCGGGACTGGTGTTTTCGGTGTGCATGGATCTTATTGGATATTGGGGAATACCTTTTGTATGTCTGTTACGTTTTTTTTTCTTTGTCGTTTTCCATCATTCCTCTTTGCTTTGTGCTTGTAAGAGTTGTTTGACATTGGATATACACAGTCTCACATACGATCAACTCTCTTTCTTGAGACACCTCGTTTCTCACATGCTCCTCCCATTGCGACAATTTTCCCGTTGTTCCCTTTTATCTATCCATGTCTCTCCATCAGCTCAGCAATCCTCGTCCTCCAGATCCCACACAGGCGCCTTCCCACACACCCTTTTCCCCCCTCTACATTTCTGCCTCTGCACCCTCCCCTCCTCACATGCCCTCATGACACGCTCGTCTTGATTCACCAGCCCCGCAACCACGCGCTCGGCCTTGGACGCAAACCCGCTCATCAGACACTTCCAATGGCCCACTGAACCTACCATCTGGATCAACACGCGAACTCGCGGTCTCGTGGGGGCTGCGAGACCCGCAGCCGCTGGAGCCGCAGACCCGAATTGGCATGTGGGACGCGGGCCTTGGGGTTTGCGGGACGGCAGGATCACAGGTGGCGTGGTACTCGTCATTGTACTCGTCATTGTAGTTGTAGTTGTAGTTGTCGAAGTGGACGTTTTCACAGCATCTTGTTCCGCCTGGTGATTTGTAGCCGGTACACTTGCCTCGGTTTCCGAAGTAGCAATACCAGTTCCAGTTGCAGTTGTAGTTCCAGTAGTAGAAGGAGATGGACAACCCGAGCGCACCACCCCTGTTGAATCCAAATGCACCACGAGCGCAATCTTCTGCAGCACAATCGACGTCCCAGCATGGCTTCGCACGCGCATACTCACAATCGGGATGCTGGCGGCTAGCGGATTCGGGTCCGGCGTGTTGAGGTAGCAGCGCGTGAGGAAGGCGAGGTGTTCTTGTGATAGGAGATGTTAGTTTTTTGTTTCGATGGAGAGGGGGAAACGCTGCGTGGGAATACGAACTCGATGTCTCGTTCATGGTGTCTTTGTCGATGCAGTGAGGGGCGAGTTGGATGTTGAGTTCGGAGAAGAGGCGCATGCGGAGGGGGTCGATGGGTTTGTTTGCCATTTTTTTCTCTCTTTTTTGTGGCGGGCGGGCGGGATGGATGGGTGGGTGGGTGGGAAGAAGAGCTTGGTTTTGTTATTATTGTTGTGGTTTGGTAAGTGTGGGTGTGGGTGTGGAAAAGGAGAAAGGAGGGGTTTGAAAGGATATAGACATATGTACATAGGATAGCATGGCTTGTTTCTGGCTGATTGCTTCATGTCCTATTCCATTGGCAAAAAGTTTGCTGTAGTCTCCTAGCCTGTGGTCTGTTGTAGACGGCTGTTTGTCAGTGGTAATCAAAAACCACGGGTTCATGCATGAAAATGCGAGACCTGCAGTGGTCTAGATGGGATGGATTCTTTCAAAATCTAGCGAGATGTTTATGAAACATGTAATCAACAATCCAGCTGCTGTTACCTGTTTCCTCGCTACACTTGATCGAGGTACATCACAGCACCAAAGGCATATTGTCCAGATCGATATCCAAGCCAGAACTCAACTGCGGAATCTGGGTGTAATGGCTCTGATCCAGTAGCATTCTCGTCGACTTTAGTGTCTGTAAAGCGTATTAGCAGGGCCAATCATTCGATTCAGATTCAACAACACTGAAGATTTACCTCGGCATAAGTAGGCTGCTGATTTCTCTTCATCATTTCCAAAAACGCCCAAGTCATGGCTCCCGTGGCACGGCCCTGGATATTAGCATCCGCACTTGTCTGGTCGTCCTTGCAGCCGGAAAACATGGTGACCATCTTGCGCTCACTGCCATACTGTCCAGCAAACTCTCCGGATGCGAGTCCCTCCTCCTGCTCCTCGCCAAAGTGCCTGAGGCCCTTGAAAAAGGAGCTGGCGCCCGCAAGAAGATGCTGGGCCTCGCCCATCTTGTCAAAGGTGAAGCCGCCGGAGATGATGTCGCGGGCTTCTTCGGCAAGATGGATGCCCGTCTTCAAGTTGTCCATTAAGCTGATCTGGCCGTCACTGTCGGAGCGGTAGACATAGGGGAGTTCGAGCGCACTACCCGAGTGGCAGCAGTCCATGATGACAAACAGTGTGCAGTCACGGGCCATGTACGTGACGAGATGCTGGTGCAGAATCGTACTTGAAATCTGGCCTCGCTGTTCAAAGTCGACGGGCACAAGCGATGCATCCAAGCCCGTTTCCGTCCTGTTCCGGTCGACATCTGCGACCTGGCCGCCGTGGCCCGAGTAGTGCAGAAACAGCGTGCAGCCGGGCTCCGAGACCAGCCAGTCCATGGCGGCGAGGATGTTGTGGCCCGTAGGGTAGTAGGGCGAGTCCTGTGGGACTTCCGGGCGGTCAGTCAAGATGACGCGGTCCTTGTGGGAATTGTCGTAGCCACGATAGGAAAGGAATTCGGCCATGTTGTCCACATCCGAGTGGCAGCCACGTAGTTCGTGGCTGCTGCCGACATAGTTTATGCCGATGAGCAGGCTCTTTTTGCGTTGGTAAGACATGTCGTTTGTGTAAAGACTGAAGAAGGGGTGTGGCTGAGGAAATTGGGATTCCGGTACAAGTGGCTGAAGGCGGCCGCGGAGGAGAGGGAATGGTGCGGTATTAAGCGTCGAGGGGTCGGTGAATGAAGTGGCCGATCTCTGCCCAATCGGCGTGGCTGAAGCAATGCCTGATTCACGCGTCCCGTTCCGCCCACGTGCACCCGCGATCGTACCTGTGTATCGGATACTCAACACATGACGTCACGTGGTTTCTCCAATGTCCTGGGGCGGCTGCAAACTGCGGTCCATGGGCGTAAAGACTGCTGTCGTCAAGTATCGCAAGCCAATGAACCGTGCTATTAGCCCTCCGCCCACAAAGCGGCGCAAGACGACCGCCTCCACCGCAGCAGCATCAGCATCCAAGCCCTGCGACATCAAACCTGCACGCCCCCCAACCCTACGCATCTTCTCCTGGAACATCAACGGCATCTCGCCCTTCCTCCAGCCCCCAATCCCCTCATTCTTCCAAGCCACGCAAGACAAAAGCAACTTGAAACAAGCACAGCCCCCCATCCATGCAGCCTCTCTCCGCGCATTCCTGCACCGCCACCACTGGCCCACGCTGCTCTTCCTGCAAGAAGTCAAAATCAGCGCTCAAGACACAAAAGCCCAAGATGCCGTTCGCACAGCCGTAAATGTCGTCTTGCCTTCAGAACGCGGCGCCGACTCAGATGGCGCTGCAAAGCGCGACCGCCCACTGTACACGGCACACTTCACGCTGCCGACAGATACCCACAACGCGCGGGGTCCACGCGGCAGCGGAAAGGTCTACGGCGTATGCAGCATTGTACGTGACGGTATTGCTGATTTCCACGACATCGCCGTGCGAAACGTCGACTGGGACTGCGAAGGCCGTGTTTCCGTTGTGCAGGTTACGTGTCCTCAGACACGGGCTCGCCTCGCCATTTTCAATATCTACGCTGTGAACGGGACGCAGAATGCGTATCGTGAGGGTCATACTGGCGCTGTGTGCGGCACACGACATGATCGCAAGCGCGAGTTTCAGCGCTTGCTGATGCACGAGTGTAGGGTGCTGGAGGCACAGGGCTGGGACGTGCTGCTCGCTGGGGACATGAATGTTGCGCCGGATGAGCGCGATGGGTATCCTAAATTAAGGGTGTTTCCTCACGACCACGTTGTTAGCCGTGCGGACTTTCATGAAAAGTTGCTTGAAGGTGGCGGTGATGCAAAGGAGAGCGGTGGGCTGCATGGCGTTGATATCTGGAGGAAGATGCATGGAGAGGAGAGGAGGTATACGTATTTCCCGCGCAATAGAGAGTGGGGATCTAGCTGCGATAGAGTGGATTACTTTATTGCTGGACGCCGGTTTTGGGATAAGGGTTGTGTCAAGGCGTGTGGCATCATGGACAGCGAGGCGGAACGCGGACCTAGCGACCATGTACCTATATGGGCTGATGTTGAGCTCAAAGCAGATGCGAACTGACGGAAAGAAAAGGCGAGTTTTATGTCAAACACTCCGAGTCTTACTCATTATAGCTACCAAGTTCTGACAGCATGGCAATCCTCACGCGTCTTCCTCAGCCCCAGGATCAGCGACAAAGAACGGACTTGTCCCCATGCCATTGAAGGCATTGACTTCCCAGAATTCCGTCGTGCCATGCAGCACCTCGTAGCGATTCAACGCTCCACATCCGCTCTCGCTGTTGACACACACGCTCGTCAGCTGTCCTGCAATCCGCTGTCCTACCTCCTGTCCCTCGAACCACGCTCCGTGCAGAAAACCAAAGTACTCTGCGCTCATGGCCTCGCCGGCAAAGTACAGTTTCCCGACGTTGGCGCGCAGATTCTGATGCATTTCAAGCGTGGTGCCAGCGGGCCAGTTGGAGTAAGAGCCGTAGGACCATGGGGTTTGGGTCCAGCGCGGGTAGGTAAACGCTATGGGCTCTGGAACGGTGATGTTGGGGAACATTTTCTGCAGGACAGCCATGCCTTCTGCTTTTGTTGCTTCGTCGTCTTGCGCCTCGACGCGGTACGATTGCTCGTCGACGAGCGTGGCAAAGATGATGTTGGAGCCGGGCAGATATCCTTCGGTCGAGAGACTCTGCCACACGGTGTAGTAGCCGCGCGTCGTGGGGTCTGCATACAGGAAGAACTGCTTGTCGTCTGGCCAGAAGGTCTCGTTGAACTGGAAAAAGAGCTTCGTGTATGTGCCAAATGAAAAGTTGGCAATGGCGGATTGCTTCCATTCTGGTAGTTCGGGCTCGAACGTGATAACATCGTTTTGTAGCACACCGAGAGATACAGTCGAGATGGCGTAGTCGGCTTCTATGCAGGAGCCATCGGAGGTGGTAATGTGAACGCTGGTGTTTGAGTAGGTAATGTTTGTCACTATCGTGTTGAGAAGGAGACGGGGATCGTTTGGCGTGAGGAACTTGGACGCTTGGTGTTTAAGCCAAGTGTTGAAGCCGCGTTGATCAGTGCAAACTGCACACAAATCAGTCCGAAACCCTGCTTGCATGTAAACTACATGGGTACTTACAGTTGCTGACCTCGGAGAATCCATAGTACGTCAAATTGTACCCCGTGATTCCGTAAACGAAGCTAGACTCCTCAGGCGTCTACGTATATCGAAGAAAGTCAGTTTTTGCTTTGAAAGCAAACAAACCGGGCAAGTAACTTACTTGAGCAGCCTCCCAGTCCCACAGATAGTATTCGACTGCCTTGCGAGCAGGATCGCCCTTTGGCCGCCATCCGCTCTGCCAAAGCCCTGCACGGAACGACCTATCCTGCAGGTTCTCGGAGAGTATGGTGCCAGCATTCTTCTCGAAAACACTCCAGTACTCTTCAAACTCCTCGAGGATATGCGTGTAAACGACGGCGCCAGTTTCGTTGTACGTGGCAATGGAAAAGGCATCGGAGTTTGGGCTCGTGAGATTGACTTGCTTGGAGAAGGTCCAAACGGGATTTTCTGGGCCATATGGCGTGTTCTCGCCTAGACCGGATATCCAATTCGCGCCCAGTTCGACGGTGTACGGGTTGCCGCTGGGATCAGAGCCAAACTGCGTGTTGCGCATGCGGCCTCCAATGTGATCCTGGTACTCGATGATGAGGAAGTCGGAGATGGACTGGTTCGAAAGTGCTTGCTGCGGGGACGTTAGGGCTATGGGATTGAATATGATAACTTTGCAGTCGTGAAAATCTAGTATTGATGGGGGCATACTCACTGCTGCTGTTATGCCCGCAACGCCTGCGCCTCTAGAGAAAATCAGTCTGTAGGTTCACACGTAGATTGACTCCCACATACATGATGGCTACTTTTGTTTTCCTGCATGTACTGTCGGATTGGCGCCCACGAATCGTTGGCGCGGCGCAAGTCAGGGCCGGCACCAGCCCAATGGCTACTAAGAGACTCTCGACCGCGACCATGATGAGATTGTTAATTGCAAGACGCAATAAACCAGCGCACCTACCCAGGCAGGTACTTAAGTTTGCATAGGGCAATTTCTATTAGCATTTGTAGCCGTCATGATTGCTCATGTCTCGTATAGTGGCTGCGACAAGTCCCGCATTGGGCAGTATGAGCTGACTCGAGGTTGAGTACTCCAATCGGGTACGAACTTGGCGGGCTGTATTCTATCGCTTGTTGTGGGGTTGTACTACCAGCAGTGGGAATGCCTTGGTTGTACCCTTGTAACACCCCTCATACTTCTTCTGCAGTGGTTGACGGAGGACAGCCAGAGCAATATGAGCTAGGCCCGAAAGCGTAGGCCATCATGCAGAGGCGTGGAAAAGGCATGGTGTGGGGGCGCTGGCTGCATGGGGGCCCATTGTACTCCTCGGATCACTTGCTAATGGCATACAAGAGCGATGAGGCGTTGCGGAGACTGTGTGGATGCCGACGGTAGCATGCCGACGATGGGATGTGATGTGTGGGCCGCGATGCCGTATCCCGCTAGTGGTTTGCGTGGTTAGCATTCAACATCAACGCCGTGGTGAGGCGAGGAGGAAGCCGGCAAAAACACATCAGCCAGGGACACCCTCGCACGCACACTGACCCAACCGCAGCGTGTCCGCCAACATGACGCCTAGTGACAAACGGGCGCTGCCACACACGCTGAGGATAAAATAAAAACCACCTTGGCTGCAGAACAAGTCGTAATCATGCACCGCCGAGCATGCACGCCGAGTGGATACGCGCAGGATGCGGGAGGACGGCGCAGGGATTTCCACGACGGCGCGGGACGACTACAGCGGGGGCCCATATGATCCAACCAGGAGAAAACCGGAGATACATCTGAATCCTCCCCAGAAGAGACATGGTTTGCGTATGTATAAAAATAAAAACCGCACAGAGACACGTAAGACGAGAGAGAGCCTATGACAGTTCTAGTCTTCGTAGTTGGACCCTACGGATTAAACTTCCGAGGGCGCGGCGCTCATACCGAGTGTGTATGTGTTGAGGGACGTTGGACCGCAGTGCCGAATGGGCGTAATCCGGTCGTATTCACTCCATAGGTATAACCGAGTCCCGCGGTTCTTGCGACGAGAAGAGGACGAGGAGGGGGTGTGTGTGTTCACGGCGATGATAAAAGTCAAGCTTTTTCCAAGCTTTTTCTTATTTTCTTCCCCCCTCCCCCTCCCTTTCGCCTGCGTGTGCGCCTTCCTTCCGCGTTGGACTGACGACGGCTTTTCCGCCTGAGCTCTCCACCTTTTTCTTTTTTCCGGTCGCAAGCTGGGCATCCTATCCTGGGAGTCCATTCAAGAGAAAAAAGGAAAAGAAAAGAAAAGAAAAAAGGTAAGAGCGATCGCAGCCAAAAGTGCAGCCGAGTAGCAGAATGTCCAGGTTGCGGTGGTTGCTCGGGAATTGTGTGGGGGGATGTCGGGTGGCGATCTGAGACATGCGATCGGAACTTGATTTGGTCAACACAGCTGCTCCAGGAACCCATCCCTCCCCTTCACTCACTCTTGCTCTCACCATGTTCCAAAGACTGCTGCTAACGCTGGCTCCAGGCCACAGCAGCCATGTCGTCGCCGGCCATGGCGCTTGACGAAAAGACGGCGCGGGAGGAGAAAACGCCGCGCGAGTCGCACGCGCACGAGTCACGGGACAGCGCGCACGACGACGACGACGACGACGTCGAACGCCAAGACGACGCCCGCCGCCCGCGATGGCAGCAGACGTGGAGTGCACTCGAGCGGCGGCTCGTCGAGCACAGCCTCGAGGCGCGCGGCATCCAGCGTGTCGAGCCGCACGAGCGGCAGGACTTGGGTGTGCTCGGCTACTCGCAGATAGGCATCTTGTGGTTTAGTATCAACCTGGCGGCCAACAACATCACGCTCGGCATGCTGGGGCCTGCCGTGTATTTCCTCGGGTTCAAGGACGCGTGCTTGCTGGGCGTCTTTGGCGCGCTGGTGGGCTCGCTCGTCGTGGCGTATATCGCTATATTCGGCCCACGCAGCGGCAACAGGACCATGATCTTCTCGCGCTATGTTACCGGGTGGTGGCCGTCCAAGGTCATCGTGCTGCTCAACCTCACCGTGATGCTGGGCTACGGAATGATAGACTGTGTGATAGCGGGTCAGATCCTGTCGGCCGTCTCCGGAAACTCCATGTCTGTCGTCGTGGGCATCATCATGATCGCCATCATCACCTGGGCCATCACGACGTTCGGGTACCAGCTCTTCCACTACTACGAGCGCTGGGCATGGCTGCCCCAGGTCTTTGTGCTCTGCATCTTAGCTGGCGTTGCGGGCCCCAACTTCAACACAGCGTCCAAGTCCGAGGGCGACCAGAATCCCGATACCGTCGTCGGGAGCCGCCTCAGCTTCTTCGGCCTGACGCTTGCATCCGCCATTACATACGGCGGCGGTGCAGCCGACTACTCCGTCTACTACCCCGAGCACACGTCGTCTGTGAAGATCTTCGCCATGACCTTTGCCGGCCTGTGGTCCAGCTGCGCATTCGCCTACATCCTCGGCATAGGCCTCGCATCCGGCATGGCGACCAACGCCGCTTGGAAAGGAGCATACGGCATCTCGCAGGGCGCACTCATAATCGAAGCCTACAAGCCTCTGGGTGGCTTTGGGTCTTTCTGCGGCGTAATCGTGGCCTTGGGCATGATCGCCAACCTCATGCCGCCCACGTACTCGTCTGGCATCGACGCCCAGATGCTCGGCCGCTACGCCGCCGCCATCCCACGCGTAATCTGGAACACAATCGGCGTCATCATCTTCACCATCTGCGCGCTAGCCGGCCGCGCCCATCTCGCGGAAATCTTTACAGACTTCCTCGCCCTCATGGGCTACTGGGTCTCCATCTGGTTCGCCCTCGTCCTGGAGGAACACATGATTTTCCGCCGCAAGACGGGCTTCAACTGGGAGGCGTGGAATCAGCCTGATAAGCTTCCAATTGGCATCGCGGCTTTCATTGCCTTTGTTATTGGCTGGATTGGCGCCATCATGTGCATGGCTCAGGTGTGGTATATTGGTCCTATCGCCAAGAAAGTCGGAACAGCGGGTGCTGATGTATGTTGAAATCCACATTCCATTCTATCCAGACATACTAACAAGTTACAGATGGGCAATTTTGTCGGTTTCGCGTGGGCTGCGCTGGTGTATCCGCCGCTGAGAATGCTGGAGCTCAAGCGCTTCGGTAGATGATTTAAGCTGCGTTTGTGTCGTTCCAAGGTCATATTATTCCTCGCCCATACATCGTGGCTAAAAAAGAACTGTACAGCTTAGTTACAGCAAGTTGTTCACACGTCAAGTTGCATACATTCCTTTTGCGATCAACTCTCCACACTTTGTCTTGTTATGTGAATGCCTCGAGGAAGAGCAAAAGCTTGATTAAGTATCTTGCCGGTGTGTCTGCTTGATCGAGTATATTGCCGGTGTGTCTGCTTGATCGAGTATATTGCCGGTGTGTCTGAAAGAACTCTCCTCCCAACGCCATGCCGTTCTACAGAACCTGCTTGTGTAATGTCCATTTGCCCAATCCCCCAGTGCCCACACATGCACTCTTTACCACTGAGGTCTCTCCGTGCGCAGCATCAGCCATCCCTGCTCATCGTGTGCCAATTTGCACGGCGTAAGAGGGCAGTTACCCAGCCTATGCTTGAGAGAGCACCTCCACCTTGCACACGTCTCGCCACGATCTGTACAGCTGCGGCATGTCGCATTGTTGTCGCACTCCAAGTTATTGGCATAACATTCCGAGCAGGCAAACACCGTCTTGGGTAGCTGTGTATTCGCGTTTGGCTTGACGAGGTGTGCGGCACCCTGAAGTGACATGCCGTTCTTGGTGATCTCCAGGAGGCGATTCTCGCAATGCTTGAGTTGGGCTTCAGCAGTCTTGAGCTGAACCCGCTGCTCACGAAGCTTGATTTTTAGCTCTTCATTCTCACTTTCCAGACCAGTCGCTATGGGGCGATTCTCGCGGTGCTTAAGCTGAGCTTCAGCAGTGTCGAGCTGAACCTGTTGCTCGCGAAGCTTGTTTTTAAGCCCTTCAATCTCATCCTCTAGCTCAATGTTCCTAAGGCGCTCTTTCATGAGTTCGAGGCGCAGGTCAGGCGAGGACGAGTCTCGGCATCATTAGTGTGTATTCCCATCATTGTGTGTTATGAATCACCTTTTGGCGCAGCTGGGGGAGGCGGTGCAGAAGCAGCTGGTGGCGACTGTGCAGAAGGAGCCCGTGACGTGACGGCATACGGCTTCTTCTCTCGCATCAAACGTGTAAGATCCGCAAAACTATCGCGCATCCCGGGCTGAGTGGAGTTCATGTTGTTGTTGTCGTCGTCGTCGAAGCTGATCAGGTCTTCAGTCATAGTAGTAGCAATGCAACTGAGAGGGAGAGTGAGAGACGACAGTGGGCTAGTGTAGCAGTGTACCTGTGTGGCGCATAGGGGAAAGAAAAGTGAGAGTGAGAGTGAGAATGAGAGAGAGTGTATGTGTATGTGAGAGAGAGGAGAGGTGAAAAGACAACAACTTTCGGAGCAGAAATTCAGTCACGGCATTTGCAGGAAGGTTCGGTTCTAAGCAACGACGCAGTCACCGCCAACGCACGCACTTGTAGAGTAGGAACGAACGATCAGGTCATCACCACCCAACATGAGGAAAAAATGCAATTAAATTCTACAGCATGAAAAAAATCCAGATACAACATGTTGATGCACACACAAATAACAAAAACAACAAGCCCCATGACCACGCAAATGCGCTGTGCAGACAACAAAAAAAAGACCGAACACGATGAAGGGGCCTCCAGAGCAAACTATGATACAGTTCCTTCTCACGGCCGCTTTTTTCGCTTTCCCAGAATTATGCAACAGGACATTCCTCGCCATACAGCGTTAACAATAAAAAAAGGAAAAAAAAAGAGATAAGAATTAAACACGGAGAATAGATCTCTATACAAGCATCCAAGTTTCATCCTCGCTTTCATGTGCCCCCATGTTCCCTTTACCTCTAGCGCACAGCCGTACCTAACGACTTTCCCTCCTTTCTGGTGTCGGCCCGGGCACCATGATCTTGAAGGGCATCTCACGTCCTATGCCACCGGCCATACTGACGGGTACATAAGGAGTGAAGATCTGTTGGTTCGGTTGAGGTTGCTGATGCTGTCCTTGTTGATGAGGCGGCGCCGGCGCCAGCGCCTGCTGTCCACTTGCGGTGGTCTTCGGTAATGACTGTCCACGGCTCTTCGGTCTCCCCCCTGCCGGACTCTGCGGCCCGTATGGGCTGGGATAGGTGGGCATGTTCGTGGGTGCTGGGGCGAGTTGACGTGGTCCGCCGCCAAACTGGCCACCTGCAGAACTAGTAGGCGGGGCAAGAGGGATGCCTTGTTGATGGTGCGGTGTATGGTGCGAAAACGGGCTAGGGAAAGAGCCAGTCGGGATCGCAGCAAGCGGCGAATAGGGCATCATCATGTGATGTGGCGGTCCTGGAGCAGAGACATACATGTAGTGCTGCGGTGGGCCAGGTGGGCCAGGTGTATAATGAAGATATGCTTCGGGAGGCGCATGGTGAGGACTGTGCTGCGGGCCAGCGTGCTGTGCATGGTGAATTGGCGATGCTTGCTGTGACTCCGGTTGTTGCGGTTGTGGTGTAGCACCAGCGGTTGATCCTACAGACTGCCTTGCGCCTTTTCGATTTGCAGAATTCGATCTTGACGGTGTCGGCTTCGCTGGCTTGCCTTCCTTCTCATCCTGCTCTCGTTTTTTGGCTTTGCGTTCGGCCCACCACATCGTCATTGACTGGCTTCGCTTCTCGCTCTTGACACGCGGCTTCCGTCTTGATCCCGAGGCGGGTGCCGACTCGTCAACGTAGTTATTGGTATACTGACTGAGTGGCGCAGTGAGCATGTACGCGTCTGGCGTACTGGACTCACTTGGATGTACCAGCGGCACCTCTTGAGGCGGTGCAGAATTCTGTGGCGTGCCTTGGAAAACCGTCTCAGCAGAGTTCGGTGCCATCAAGGGTGTACTTTCTGCAAAAGGCTGGGTATCGATAGTAAACTGACCTTGACCTTCACTCATCGAGTTCAGTGCCGGAGGCGGTGCTGGTGTCGGTGCTGGTGCTGGTGCAGGTGTATTAGGGCCATGCGCCGATGGTGTGGATGCGCCCGCATCAGCTGGCTTCTTGCGTGGGCCTTTCTTCACTCCGTAGTCGCTGCGCCGGGCAGAGTTCTTGCTGCCAGCCGGACGCCCACGCTTGGGGTTTACTTCAGTATACTCATCGACATCCATGGCTGATGACTCCTCGTCGCCAGAACTTCCGATGATGGATTCTTCTCGCATTTCTTGTATGCGTTGGTGGAGTAGATTGCTGGCTGTTACCCGAGCACGCTTTGGAGGCCTTGCTTCTGGCTCCGGAGTCTCTGAAGCTGGTTTTGCAAATCTGCTAACTCCCTTCTTGCGGGCACCGCCCCAGCCATTGTGCTTCTTGGGGGTGCTGGTTCCCGTGCCAGCGTCGGTGCCGTCAAACTTGCGGGGAGCCTTTCGCTGTCGCTTGGACGGACGGCCTTCGTTTTCTTCCTCGTTTTCTTCTTCACTTGGAGCCGCTGACTCTAGCATATCGCGCGTTCGGCGCGTACGGAGCTCTCTGCGACCACCCTTTTCTGCGCCGGGCCGCTGGGCCCAAGGATCCTGGCAACCTGATGGCTTTTTCGGATCATACACGTAGCCGTATAGATCTGCCTCCTTCATGTCTTCAAAGACCTCTGGCGCCAAAGGAATTCGCCCACCATTGCAAGCTTTCTTGGCTGGGTGCATGTGGGGCGCGGTCTGGAACAGTTAGTGGTGAACAAGTTGAATGTCACAAACCGACTCACCCTTGCATCCAACATGAGGTACTCATCCTGCCACGCTTTGAGGATGTGTTGCGCGTTTTCAGTCAACGCATAAAGATTCTCCGTGCTTCTTTGTGCCGCAGGGAACTTGGTCAGAGCAGCAATAGCCGCCTGTACATCCGCCATTGGCTTAAAGCGCTTCTGCAAAAGGTAGTCGGCCCTGTCCTCGCATTCGGCCTCGACTGGCGAAGGCGCATCGTAGATGAAGGGATCCGGGAGGTCAGAGTCGGAGAGAACATCCTCTTCAGGCTCCAGTAGTTTCGGGACGGCCGACTCAGCCGGCGTTGACACGGATTCTCTGGGAGTTTGCGATGCTGACTGTGGCAGCAAGGAGATCTTGGGGACGGCCAGCCTGTTTGATGTTTTTGACGCCGACTCAGACTTGGAATCAGGCGGCGGCGCCGATGTATACGAGCCTGCTGCGTTGGAATCATCCAGCTCGGGCGGCTGGGAGCCTTGCGGCGTGCGCGAAGATTTGTGCGCGAGGTCCATACCATCGTAGTCAGCCTCACTTTCGTCGTCGTCGATTGCTTCTTCGTTGTCTTCGTCTGAGTAGTCAGTCACGCTACCGCCCATGCGAGTTCGCGTCTTGGCGGTGCTGATCGGCGTACTCTGGTTGGACAGTGGATCATCGCCGTCTGTGAAAGAGAAGCCAGCAGTACCATTGCGAGCAGCTCTCGAAGAAGCAGACGAAGCAGCCTTTGCCATGCCGCCTCGGGCTCGGCCGCCTCTGCCTCGTCCACGACCGCCGCGGCCGCCGCGTCCGCCGCGTGAGCCTCGACCACCGCGACCGCGGCCTCTTGGCGCTGGCTGGGGCGCCACAGCAATGTCGTCGTCGGTTTCTGAGGCGGTCTCGTCCTCAGATTCGGTGGCGTCATCCTCGGGACTGGGCGAACCCTCTGAATAGGAGCCGGCGGCGGGCTTGCGCTCCTTGGGCAGTTTGCCGTGGTGCTTCTTGAGGCGGTTGAAAAACTCGGGTGACAAACCAAAGACCATGAACAGGGGATGTTCGTACGAGGCATAAATCTCGGACGCCGCCTCGAAGGAATTGCCAGAGATGTTGGAGGCCGAACGTGTCGTCTTCCTGGTGACGGTGGGACTCAGTTTAGTAGGACTGCTGTTTGGTGCGACGGCCTCGGACGCATCTGTTTTTGATGGGGCTGGTTTTGCTCCTCGACCACGGGTGCGGGTAGGCGTGTCATCTTGCTGCGAATTCCTGCGCTGCGAGGAGCGCGCAGGCGCATTCTTGGAGGCAGGCATTGGGGAGAGTCAGCGACACGGGAGCACGAACTGAGGGCGGGTTTGAGATTAGGGCGCATCCGGCGAGGCAATGCTTCCATAGAGGGCCCCAGGGAGGCGTAGCGCGCGAATCGCAAGCCTGCTAAGGAGACGCAAGCCGCTCAGGTCGACAAGATGAACAAAACCTCACGCCGCAGCAACAAGGTCGCGCAATCCGGCGCGAGCGGCGGCCAGCGGGTCTCAAGGAAAGAAAACGGCAGACGGATTAGTCCGCGATACGACGTGTGATGATCTTTGTCTCGGGGTCGTGGCTGCTACAGCAAAAGCGAACCATGATGCGCTTGGCGCATGCTCGGGCGGCCAATCAGCGCCGCCACGCTAAATTGACGGGCATCTACCTGTCAGATGCTCCAGCACAATACGCCGACGTCCCTGCCATCGCCGTGCATCTGCAAGACCGCCGCCGTCACGTCTGCTCACGGCCAGCGCCGCCCTTTTTGCCTTCAGCCACGCCCGCTGCAGCGCCTCCCTGTGTTGCCCGCCGCCCGCAATGCCCCCCAAGACCGCCGACGACGAGCTGGCGGAGCTGGCGGAGCTGGAGAAGCTGGCCGAGACGCCTGCGCCCCCGCCCAAGCACGCCCGCGGCGCTCGCCCACCACGGCAGCGCTTTGAGACCGAGGACGATGCCCTCAAGGACCTGGACGAGCTGGAGCAGCTGGGCAAGGCGCCCCAGCCCACGGTGCCGCGGCAGACCAGCCGCCCCAACACGCCCAAAGTAGCGTCGTCGTCCGCCTCCAGCAACCGGCGGGCCCCCGGCGTCGCCACGCCCTCGTCCACAGGCTCAGCACGCACAAGCGAGGACAACCGGCCGTCGGCACCACGCAAGTCGGGCGAGAGCACCCGCTCCTACCACCAGAGCTTTGTGCCGTCCCAAGACGAGCCCGCGAGGCAGCCGGCGCCCGAGCCAAAGGAAGAGAAGCAAGCGGGGGGGTCTTGGTGGGGAGGCGGATGGGGAGGGCTCGTGTCCACCGCCACGGCAGCAGCAGAGACGGCACGCAAGCAGGCAGAGGCAGCCTACCAGGAGCTCCAGAAGAACCAAGAGGCCCAGCGGTGGGCCGAGCAAGTGCGAGGGAACGTTGGTGCTCTTCGCGGCATCGGTACGAGTCTCGCGAGCACCCGCCATCGCCCCATACTGACAGCACGCAGGAGGCGAACTCGGCAAGCGTGCCGTGCCTACCTTCACAAACATCCTCAACACACTCGCACCGCCAATCTCTCAACATGAACGTCTACAAATCCACATCACACACGACCTCATCGGCTACCCCTCGCTCGACCCGCTTGTCTACCAAACATTTGCTGGAGTCATGGCACAAGTAGAAGGCGGCGACCTGATGGTCATTCAGCGCGGCTCCGAGTCATCACAGCGCGGGTCGTTTGACGGATATCGAGGCGGAGGCGGAAGCTGGAATGACGGCCCATGGTGGCGCCACAATGAGAAGCGCGACCTGGGTGTGGTCAAGGGACTCGTCGAAGGCACCAAGCTTGCTCGCGTGAGCGCTGAATCCTACGCCAACGAATTCTTCAACGCAAGAGGCGGCATAGAAGAAGCTGCAAAGCATGCCACGGAAGTGCTGAGTGAGACAAATCCAGTCAGGAGCAGCGACATCTTTATTGCCATCCAGGCCATCAGCTACCCAGAGCAAGACGGGCTGTTCGCATCATCCTCTTCGGAAGAAAAGGGAGACGTCGAAGAGCAGGACGACGACGGAGAGCAGGTAGCCTTTGCAATCTACCTCCACGATCCCGTACACGGTATCAGTTTCAAGAGCATTTCACAATCTTTCCCTTCCAAGTGGGTCGAGTGGCTGGACGCGCCGGCCAACACCGAGGTCGAGGGCGAGGAGCCCCAGCTACCACAAGAAATTCAAGAAATCATCGAAAGCGGCGGAGTTGATCCACGAGAGTGGGTCAGCGAATGGATGGAGGAGACGATCAATCTCAGTGTAGGCATCGTGGCGCAGCGCTATGTTGCGCGCAGAATGGGAGTTGGAGAAGGTGGCCTTGGCAGGGGAAAGGCACGGGAGGCGGTCCTTGATGCTGGTGGTGGTGAGGCTGCTCGAGCTGGAATCATCTAAGGAGTTTTCTAGTTGGCAAAGTTCTTTCCATTTTTTTGGGGGCCACAGGCACGGCGCAGAACTACTTCTACTTCAGAGTGGATAATCAAAGTATTCCACACGGTGCCAAGATGACGTTCCTCACTTTTGCTCGTCGCGATTCAGTGCTGTGGTGTCGTGATGCTTGACTCGAGTCAAGCACCTTGCACAATGGTCGCACACTGTTGTCTTCCCTCCCCCACATGCGCAAGTCGGAACCTGCTTGACTGTGCGCTCTGCGGCCTTATCCAAGGCTGCTCGGTCAGCGATGCTCACAGCATGCCCAGTACGTGAGTTCAGCATGCCCAGTCCGTGCCGTACCCTTTCAAGATTATCCGCATATCCGACAAGCTTTCAGCCAGACTTTTTCTTGTCTCCACCTTCCTTCTTGTCCTTTTTTCCTCCCTTGAGCAGCTCCAAATGTCCGGCCTTTTGCGCGAGAAGCTTCTCCGTTTGCCCGACTAGACCGGCGCTACTCTTGTGCTTGATCTTGTTCTGCGATATGATTGACGCTTTCTTGGGCTTGATTACGCGCGCGCCGTGCTGAACGCGCTGGGAGGGCCTATAGCGGGAAAAAAAAGTTAGCAGCACATCAACTACGCGGAACACGGCGCACAGTGGCGTGACGGGCGCGCAAAACCTTCAGGCATTACCTGCAGACTGTACAGCTGGTTCGAGCGGGGGTTAAACTTGCTTTTTAGGTGCCGCGGCCTTGGTCTTCTTGACGGCTCCTTGAGCCATTGCGGAGGTTGCTCCTGGAAGCGTGGGGCGAAGAAGAGAACGAAGATTCGAGGTTAAACAATCCTGGACGACTGGGCTGGCGGGAAGTGTCTTTCGGGCGATGACGTTCCGGGTACCGCTCACGGGGCCAAATGGGCCTCGGAATGCTTGCTTGGGGTCTTTCGGTGGAGAAAAACGCAAAGACGGTTACTCTGGATAATTCACGAATCGCGGCTCCCAAACGTTTTTTCGCGATGCTTGGCACGGCGTAGCGCTAGCCGAGCCGGGCATGGCGCTTTGCGGGAAGATGTCCAATGCGCACATTTAGCCTTTTCACCCCATCCTGGTGAGCCTCCCCACGGCCCCGGAGACCCGTTTTCCAAGCCTCGCGCCCTTCCTTCAGCCTCCAATTTATCCTGACCGAGGCACCCCGCCCTCGCTTTCTCCCCTTTACGCCGAGACACTCGCAAAGTTAAAAGCCCGGAATAATTTGCTTATGGCTTCATTGCAACAACGGCTTCTGGCACGCGGCTGGATCTGCGCACATCGCCAATCAACCGTACGGCCACGCCATGTGCAACTCCACAAGTCTACATATAGCCAGGATCTGGATATTTGCATCCTGCATGCGTGCCGCCATATCACCAAGGCCGACCGACTACTCTTCTAGAAGCCGTGCAGCTCCAAGTGGGCTGGGTCACGTCCACTATTGCAATTTAGCCTTGCACAACAACCGGTCGGGTAGAGAAGACCGCTAGCACCAGTCACATGGGTCAGTTTGCCAGCGATCCAGGAACACCTGGATCTGCTAGGACTAGTACATCATGCCTAGACATTGAATGGGGGGCGCCATTTACACGATGCGCGTTGACTAGTTGGTTAAGGGGATAAGTTGGTGGAGACCATAGGGAATGGGGTAAACGTGCACATCACTGGACAATGGTCTGGGGAAGCATTCAAAAGCAGGGGATCCCCGCATCGTTGTGGTGCTGTCCAGGACGCTGCTCAACGACCTGACCAAGCATAATGGAGCTCCTCTCTCGCACCGTACTTGGTGCTGTGTCATTGTCTCTTGCTTTTGCCGGCTCCGCCTCGGCATTGGAGCCTTTCCGCAAGCCCACCATTGCAACCGCGAGTGGCAATGGTGCAACCCTTCTTGCGTCCCGTGGCTCTTCTGTGAGCATTCACGCCGATGCCGCCGACTGGCCTGGTGTTTTGCGTGCGGCGCATGACCTCGCCATCGACTTTGGCCGTGTCACTGGCACAAATGGCACACTGACGGCTTCCGGTACACCAACAGCGAATGCTTCCATGATCTTCAATGTCACTGGCATCAGCGAGGACTGGAGTGTTAGTGGCAGCAAGGCCGCCAACTCTTCTTCCGCTGGAACAATTATTGTCGGCACCATTGGCAACTCAAGTCTGATTGATGACTTGATTGCAAGTGGCAAGCTCGATGTCAGTGGGGTCAAAGGTCAATGGGAGGCGTACGTCAGTGCCGTTGTGCAGAACGCCGGCAACATGAGTGGTGAAGCGCTTGTCATTGCCGGTATGTGGATCAAACAGATTTGATCGCCAGACTCTAACGCCCTACAGGCAGCGACCGACGTGGTGCCATCTACGGTATTTACGACCTCTCAGAGCAAATTGGTGTCTCGCCATGGCACTGGTTTGCCGATGTGCCCGCCAAGAAACACGACTCTATTTACATGCTCAAAACCACAAAGGTTCAGAAAAGCCCGTCTGTCAAGTACCGTGGTTTCTTCATCAACGACGAAGCGCCCGCTTTGACCGGCTGGGCGAACGTCCGCTACCCGATTTCTCCCTACGGCGCACCCTTCGGAGCCCAGTTCTACTCCAGGGTCTTTGAGCTGCTGCTCAGGTCAAAGGCCAACTACCTCTGGCCGGCCATGTGGAATGGCATGTTCAATGTCGACGACCCGCGCAACCAGCCATTGGCTGACGAGTACGCCATCGTTATGGGTACATCGCACACTGAGCCGATGGTGCGCGCTACACAGGAATGGAGCAAGGTGGCCAAGGGCTCGGAATCAGGCTGGTCATGGGCGACCAACAACAAGACTCTGTACAACTTTTTCATGGAGGGTGCCCAGCGCGCTGCTCCCTATGAGAATGTTGTTACAGTCGGCATGCGAGGATATCACGACACGGCCATGTCGGCAGATGTACAGACCAGCGTACTCGAGGCCGTCGTCGACGCACAGGAGGAAATCCTCGACAAGGTCTACGGCAACGCGTCTGAGGTTCCCCAGATGTGGTGCTTGTACAAGGAAGTGCAGGACTATTTCGAGGCGGGCATGAAAGTTCCCGACTGGGTTACCCTCCTCTGGACTGAAGACAACTGGCAGAACATTCGCCGCCTTCCTGTCGGCGATGAGAAGAAGCGATCTGGTGGTGCCGGTGTTTACTACCACTTTGACTACGTTGGTGACTCGCGAAACTACAAGTGGCAGGACACGATCCAGCTTCAGAAGACGTACGACCAAATGAGGCTGGCCAAGGACCGTGACGCTGACCGCATCTGGATCGTCAACATTGGCGACATCAAGCCTGCGGAAATCGCCATCAGTCACTGGTTTGACATTGCTTACGATATCGACGCTTATGACGAGACCTCCGTCCCCGAGTGGCTCACTGGCTATGCTGCTCGCAACTTTGATGAGGAGCACGCCCAAACCATCTCGGACATCTTGGACGAGTACGGCATGCTGTCCAACATGCGCAAGTTCGAATGGGTCGAGCCGTCTTCCTATAGTGTGCTCAACTACGAGGAGGCTGACCACATCCTTGCTCGCTGGGAGGCCCTTGCCGCCAAGGCCAATGCCGTCAACGACGCTCTTCCCGCTGAGCAACGACCTGCATACTACGAAATTGTTCTCCACCGTGTGCTCGCTGGTGGCAACCATGTCGCCATCCAAGTGGCTGGAGCCAGGAACAAGATCTACGCGCAAATGGGACGCAACAGCGCCAATGCCTGGATGCAGCGTGTTATTGATGGCATGATGATTGATTACAAACTGACCAAGCTGTACCACACACAGCTCAACGGAAAGTGGAACCACATGATGGACCAGACCCATCTGGGATACCAAGGATACTGGTAAGCTTTGGGTGTTTGTTGCGGAAGAGACAATCTTTGCTGACATTTTGACAGGCAACAGCCAATGCGTCAATCGACACCAGACCTCCGCTGGGTACAGATATTCGAGCGCTCGCTAGCAGGCGACATGGGGATTTCGGTAGAGGGCTCCAACGCCACCATCCCTGGTGACGATCAGTACCACAGCAACGGCGGGTCTTCTCTGCCCCTGCCCAACATGACTCCCTTCACGCCCAAGCGGTGGATCGAAATCTCGCATCGTGGCACTGGCGACTTCTCGTGGAACATCAGCGCCGATCCTTTTATCACGCTCTCCCAGGCAAAAGGCACCATGAAGCCCAGCGACCCAGACGTCCGCGTCTACGTCGACGTCGACTGGAGCAAGCTCGACACGGGATTCGGCGCAAAGAGCACCCTCAACTTTAGCGCTTCCACAAACTTTGGCACCCAAGGCGGCAAGCCTCAAGTCACGTTTATGGTAAACAAGACATCTGTTCCCGCCGACTTTACCGCGGGCTTCGTCGAATCCGCAGGCCAGCTTGCATTTGAAGCCGAGCACTACACGCGCACGACGCGCGGATCGGCAAACGTGTCGTACATGGTTCTGCCCAAGTACGGGCGCACGCTGTCTGCCGTGAAGCTCGCCGACAATCTCGCCGAGGGCCTCGACGCGGCGAGCGCGCCGAGCCTCGAATACGACTTTGTCACTTTCACGCCGCTGACCAAGGACACGGGGCTCAACGTCACGCTCATCCTCACGCCTACACACAACATCAATCCCAAGATGCCGCTCGCATATATTGCGCAGGTCGACGACGGACAGCAAATCCGCCGCCAGTACGTTATCGATCAGAAACAGCCGAATTTTCCCGTCGGCTGGGGCGTTGCGGTCGCGGATAGCGCTTGGTACAACACAACGAACCACGGGGCCCTGGCGCCGGGCAAGCATACGCTCAAGCTGTGGCTCGTAGAGGCAAACGTCGTGCTGCAGAAGGTGGTGCTGGATCTGGGCGGCGTGGTCAAGAGCCATAATGGCCCGCCTGAGAGCTACCGTATTGGTGGTGGTAGTAGTAGTAGTAATTCTACGCTGCATAGATAGTTGCGCGCGTATTCTTTCTAGTCTGATATTTTTATTTCCATTTTGCAAAAGTCCCCAGGATTTGCAAAAAAAAAAGTGGACACTTTTTTTTTGGTACTGGGATAATGAATGAATAATGTAAATATTAATCCCATCATTGTGACAACAAAAAACTCAATTCTGTCTGTGTCCTCTGCTTTCCCCCCCCCCCTGTTTTTCACTTTGTGTGTTCTTGTGTATTTCCCATGGCACACATGTGCCACTTGTTCATTGCAACCCCAACTCCAAATTCCAAAATTCCAAAATCCAAACCCAAATCTAAATCCAAATAATAAATTTTTTTTATTTCCTTTGTAAAAAAAAAAAAAAAAAAAACATATCAAAGGGTCTGACTAGGCATGCAATAAAGTTTTGGCGAGCATCAACATTTGAATTTAGTTTGCATGCTATTATTGTCATGATGATTATTATGACCATGATTTATTATCATGATGTTTGATGATGATGATGATGATGATGATGATGATGATGACAATGATTCGATTTCTCTTCTCTGGGTGAATGAATGTGCACATCAGTCAGCACATTCAACAGGGAGATAGGAAAGAAAAAAAAAGAATCACCGAGACAGAGATGCAAAGAGATGAGTACGAGTCATGTGGTGTCGAATGGTTATTGCGAGAACGAGGTGAGGTGATTGGGCGGGAATAAGGGGGGGGGGTTATTGAAAGGGCCGAATAGGAGGAGTTTGTATGTGTGTACGGAGGTGCCTCACAAAAGTTTTGTCCTGCCAAGAATAATTTAGCCGAAATCTGGCCGCTCTCCTACACAACGCCTATCTCTCCCCTCTATATACTCATTACCACCTTGTAGCTCAATTATCTTTGGAATATGTATAAGAATACGCTCAATCCAAGCTTGGATCTTAGCTTGTGGGAGATCTCTCCAGCAATTTAGCCAGATTCTAGTTGCCTCCGTTCTTGACTGTGGAGCTCCTTTCTTTGTAGTCTCTCTCTTCATGTAGAACCAGCATGGCTCAATACAGTTACAGTCTGGAGAGTTGCCAGGCCAAAGTAGTCTCTCGACGTTGGATAGACTATAGACAACGTTCTGATACTGGTGGGCGTGCCCAGGTGCCTTATCCTCCATAACTACGGTCTGAGGCCTATCTTGGAGGCACTCTTTGGCGAAAGGAATCAGCTTTGGGATCAGAACGCAGCTCTGATATC